CTAACTGTCCTCAAAGGTTTTACTCAATGACGTTGTGATTACCACAGAAACAGAAACTAACACAGTTATTTGAATGACGATGTGATTCCTTTCTTCAAAACAAGATTACTGGAGTTTGATCTTTGAGTAAGCATTCCCATTCAAAGTTCTCATAAAAACCAGCAATATCTGACTTCTTCCCAATAAATACAAGTATACCGATGTGTCAACAAAACGATAGTCCGATCTTGAAAAAAAGGTAAAAATAGGGTGAACTATGAGCAAAGGGAAGATGTACATGGATTTCCCAAAACGTACAAGGAGAATAAGACCAGGTGTTCCGGAAAGGCAAGCGTCTTATGTTTCATCAACGACATTCGTCATGTAAATCCTGGTTAAACCCAACTATGTCACGTCCTCATAGCATGGACTTCGGTAGGGACAACCAATAACACAACAAAGAACACTATTAATGAGCAAAATCTAATTTAGTAAAACATCAACCTTCATATTACACGAGGAAATAGAGTAAACCTGATCATGGTCGTCATCAATAAATACGTATCTTCAAAAACCCTATGTTGTTAGTTTGTCCCTCAGCAATTCGACAGCTATCACAGGAGCATCTTGTAGACATAACAGCGGTTAATATATTTTCCAAGAAGTAATTTGCTCCTTCCCAGCCCCATGTGACATGCCAAGGAAGCTTCAAACATTTGGTGTATTGTCAATTGTGTTCAGTTACGAAACATACTTCGACCAAAGGTATGATACTTGCCAGTACTATAGGTACACACTTGAACACCAGGCCTACACCTGTACTAAAGGTAGGATACACACCTGTCTTACATGGTGCGAAATGTACAGGTGCGCATCCTTATGACCTCACATTATAGGTAAAAGCAACTCCCTCCATTATCCTTAACAAAATGTACAATGCGGACAGCGTCAGAAATATCATATTCATGTAGCTCAGCTTTACAGGTAAATATCGTATAACGTCAGTCGTACGTAGAGGATCATCAGTTGTATGAGAATTATCCCATTTTCCATGTCGGATCAGATATACAATGGCCGGTATGTATTTAAGAAGAGGTTTTCACTCAGCACGCGTGTTATGGAGGGCGAAACGGTCACGCACATAACTTTCTTTCATTATAACATCGTTAAGTATTTTCATGAATGAATTGAAAGACAACTCCACAACACCAGAATTGTTTTTCATGAATGAGCGCAAGAACTCCATTTTGTAGTACCTGTAGTAATCAAATCATTTTTTTTTAACAAGACTCATGTCTTAACATTTGCATGAAAACTACCTCTGTCCGAATGTAAAAGGTCTTACCTGAGGACGTGCAGTATAAACACGGTAGTTTATGAATGTGATTTTATTTCCTTTTCTTTTTTTAAAGTAAATCTAATATATTACATAAAATATGATTCTTAAATTTATTAAATATATATGTTTTTTGCTTTTCAAATATAGTTTGCCAGATAGCTATAGTTAGTCATACTATAAAGTTTTTGTCATAAATATTTGGGATGCTGGTTTGTCATCTTTCTTTTTCTATCTATGACCTTTATTTTTCATATTTTGTATTGTAGTTATCTGTTGGTAATCATGTTGTGCTGAGGAGTAAAGGTATATTGAATTCCTCGTTTATCTAAAGACATTCCATTTTTTCCCAATCATTTTAAGTATTATTTTTGGAGAAATTTCCAAACATCCAGCTCCTTCAATGATACACAAGACGATGAGGTTAGACGAATCTCACACTATCGTTGATGGTCTTAACAAGACCACCAGAGCAGAATTTTATTATGTAATTATCGACTTTAGGTTGAATTCTATATGTATAGACTGGTAAGCTGGATGATTGATGCTCAGATAGCAGAGGTTACTGTGGTCTTTCCGAACCCCTTATAAATACTCTGTATTCATCAAATAAAATCAACGATCCTCGGCTGTGTGGAAAGGTTTCGGTATTTATCAAAGTTTGTGCTCTTTTAAACGGCGTCGTTTCTTTCAAGGCAATTTGATATACTCACATGCAAAAGTAAAACTTAATTAAATATACACATTATATTGACGAGGCATAACAAATTAGCTAAATGATTTCTGACATGAATGTCTTTTAAATAAACAACTACCACATTTGACTTTAGGCGAATCATCATTACTCTTGTAGACGTAGAAAAATTAATTCCTTCGTGCCTATGGAAATGTGAAATACATTATGGTGTCTGTTGTTTGGCCACTTATGAAAGCCTATGAGATGCGCGCTCCTGGTAGGTCCATTACAGTGTGTCTCTATCGTATTCTCCGTTAGGTCGAGGTTCTGCACACTGACTTCAAACACATCGATTAAATCTCGGGAATGAATTTATCAAGACCATCAAGACAATAAATCACCTGTTTTCTATCTGTCGCAAAGACAAACGGCCATTTATTTCCTTCAAGTTATTGCATGGACTTTTGGTTGTTTTTAATGTATAGCTTCAGGTTGATTTGACATTTGATATCTCGTTTAGATGTTTTTTCTTTTTCAATGTATGTTTTTATTCTCTTCTTTTTTGCGATATTTCAAATTCCCAAAAACTCCTAAATAACCTGGCTACTGTAAACCGCTAAATTTTCGCCTCCCCAATCGTCACTCTTTGCGGATTCTAAACATAACGATCCAGTATTGAATTCAATATACTATTTAAGAGACTGCATACTAGACAATAAGTTGTCACCGTGTCGATTTCATCCTTAAGTTCAAGGGCAAAATACGCCGAGCAAAACGGGGCAAAACTGTCCGTTAGACAGTATCTCGAATAACGACGGTGGAAATGAATAATCGTATTCCTTATGGTTTTATAAAACCTTTATAAACCTTTAAAATTAAAGCGTTGAAGATTGATGAATTAAACAGTTGTCGCATATATTCGATATAGTCTATCATGTCATAATTGCAATAATTTGTTTCTCAAATGGCACATCTTTTCTTATATTATCGGATAATTTCCTTACGATATGGGTAAGTTTTAGGTATTACTAATTTTGTTTGATACATCACTTTAGAACGACACAATATATATAATCATGTTAAGTACAAAACAAGTTATTGCGAGATTTAAATAATACAAAAAATGTGTCTGTCAGTCTATACGACTGAACAATTCTTGCACTTATTATCAATCTGCGCTCTTCATGCTTATACAATGATATTTCCCATCGATTTTGTGGCAATCCCTCATCACGTTCTAGGAGTGTTTATATCTCGGTGTCGATTCCCGGGAACCCAGACATGTTAAACTCAAGCAGCTTCAACACTTCGCGCTAGTTATCTTTCCTTTCAGAATTTACGCACCGCATCCGTTGCAGAATGCAGCGGGCCTCACTCATAATTGGCTTCAGCAGCCCTCGGTGGTTTAGCAACAGGTGTCTGAATGTGGGTGTTACGAGAGTACGATGGTTATTTGTTTAGATCGACTTAATTATGTTTGTTTTAAGTACTTATGAAAACAACAATTTTTTAACAACATTGACAAAATACGTTGTAATGTTGGGCTAAAAATACAATTCTTCTAGCCTCCGGATTGAGAGTGGTTCGGGTATAACTACTATGCACATGTCGTAAAACACGTTCATTCATAAAACTGAAGTAGAGAGTGAAAAACGTGCTGAAGAGTTCTAAATCGTTTTTTAATCTTCGGATGACGAAAGAAAATAGCGTTGGTCTCCTCCTAAGATGTAGAGGTTGTATGTATACATTGTATACCGGGGCGGATAACCTACCATATTTGGATATAAATCATCACCTCCAAAAACAACAATGACGTGTTATGTGAGATCCCAGTGACATCACAACTTATCACTGTCATCACTGTTGAACTGTTATGAACAACATCAACATTGACACCTATACATTTGTTTTCGGTTATTTGACACAACCTTATGGGTTGTTTTTATTTTTCAAGGTTTAGATTTGAGATAAACACGTTTACAAAAACTATATCGTATTAACTGACAACAAAAACACGTTTGTGAAAAATATAGAAATTTAACAAACAAGATAACTACATATTACAGCTAAATATGAATCTATGTCGATTTTGCAACAATGTGAAACAAATCGGTATACAAATACAATCTCTGTCATCCGAAAAAACGGTAGATGTATACAAACTAATTACCTAATAAAAGCAAAGAATATCCCCTTTTCTAATTTTAATGTGTGTGTATTTATGTTATAAAATGAATTATTTTTACTAAGGTACCTTAGATTCCGTTACTTTAGTAATACAATATACAATTGGAGCTTAACTATTGTATGGTCGTTTTTGGTATTGACTATATAAATTCAAAATCTTTTTAATAATTCGTAAACTGCGTCTGAACAATAGGATTTAAGAAACAAATGGTTTAGTTTCGTATTGAGTTAACGTAATAACACATACGTCTACACTATCAAGTATTGTCGTTAGGAAAATCTCCAAAAGTGTAGTGATTTGTTTTTTAAAATACATCTCGTATTTTCATTTATTATAATTTATAAATATCCAACTTAAAATCATTTATGGCACATAAGAACAAAATAATGTACAAAGTGTACTTAAAACCAAACCGAATATTGAATCTAACTGTAGTAGAAAAAGAAGTTAATCAAGTAACACTAATGTTTTTTCTCACGCGAATCTGTTGATTTATTTTGGCAGGGTAAACTATGGTTAGGGAAGTGTCATAACCTACTGACGAAAGACAAGTTTTCTGTGTGATTTCTGGATTAAATGACTTTCCCCTTAAAACGTATACAATTTAATAGCATTCAAATGGTTATACGTGTACATTCATTTATAAAATATAAATAAATGTTTTCTTGAAAACAGGATGCGATGAAAAGATTTCAAAATCATAAAAATGAATTTTTAGAACCCAATCAAGACAAAATAATTAATTAAAAAGTGATTAAATGGTAGATAAAATGAAGAATGAAGATGAAGGTATGAATGACAAAAATACGAAATGCACTTACCACAGTCTGTGAAACGTAATTCAGGTTTTTCTCTTTTCCTTCTGGCGACGCAAACAGATGCCCCGGCTATTAAAATTAACGCTAGTGGAAGAAAACCCTTCTTCATAATATTGTTATAAAGTAATATCATTTTTGTTATAGCTTGGTATAATTTCGAAAAAATCCATTCACAAAGTTCCTTTGCCTTCTGTAAAGTGAAGGAGCTCCATCTATACTGCTAAGTGGATGAAGAGATAAAAACCTTATATAGATAGAACACCGCTAAATATCTCCAATTAATAATGTGCATATTTTGGCAGGTATGGTTGATACATTTCCGCAGGTATGCATACGCAGTTTTAAACTTGCCATGGAACCCCTACAGATCGTTCTACATTGACAGTTGCCCTTGCCTGGGGTTTATACAGAACTGGGAGTCCCCCATTGAACAAATGTTTAGCAACATTCTAAATCTCTCTGAGACCGCACACGGCGAAACTTGTGAATGTGACGTCACAACTCCCTACCCTTCGGTCGCCTGTTTACCTGGCTTGGGTCGTGCGGCCCACCACTTTCACCAGTTAGCTTCGTATTGGCCAGGTGAGATATTGAGGGAAATCTGAACAGGTTTTTAAGACATTAAACGGATTTAACTGAATACCTCATAACGAAGCGCCTACTCTACCTGTTCACTGTATCATCCACCTCTGTTTTCACATAAAGAGATTATACCAAGCCAGGTATCACTATCTCACGACGAGAGAAACATGGATCTTGTCTCCACATAATATATTTTACGGACCAGTGTTGTATAAAGAAAAGTATATACACCCCATTCTTAACAAGTTATCAATTTTGTAGAGTTGATTGTTATTAATATACCTGCCAGCTTTTTATTCTTTAAAAATTGCAATGCTGCCAAAATTCTAAATCCCCCCATTGGCAGCGTCTATGGTCGGTCATTGGGCACCAGGCATTACTAGCGGTCGGTTCAGACCACACAAGACGTGTTCCTCTCACACACGATGGTCTCTCTACAGCGGTGTAGCAGGGCAGGCAGGTATAGGTCTCCCTCTGGACACGTGCTATCACCACACAATCAACTCTTTATGAACAGTGGAACATCTTCTACTAATTGTTATATTTAATACTAATCAATCTCGTGTGATCGATGCAGTAAATTGTATGCTTAAGTATATCTGTATGTATATTTATAGAAGTTTTGTGAGTATACCTACAATTTTATGCCATCGTGTGATGTTTTCCCACCTTCGCGATAAAATCAAATTTGTTTACGTTCGAGCGTTTCAAGTTTCATATAAAGGAGAGAATTGTCTTCAACACTATGTCACATTTTTGGTGTTTACTATGACACGATTCATGAAGTGTCATTGTAAGTGTTTAGCTGTGATAAACCTGTTGAGAGATACTCATGTTCCTGGTAGATCTTCCGTCAGGACAATAACGTGTATTGGCTACCAGATCCAAGTAGAAATAAGCTTGGTAGGCATACGACGGCAGCATTTTAGTCATTTTAATAACATTTTTTCCTTTCTAAAATCAATAATATATTAGCAGTTTAATAACCGTTAGTTGCTGAGAATGACATTGAAGCATTTTACATCCACTTTTTGTTTTGAGATTTTTAATTATTAAACAAATAATTGATTTTTGATGTTTTAGCATTTGCGTTGTAAGCTATTGATGCGCCAGCGTTGTAGACTGCTATGTGTGATGTGAGAAGGCAAGGCAACGTGAACTCACACATATTATCAAATAACTTGGAAATAAAATACACCTCAATGTCACTAAAAACCTAACATATGTATCACGACCATATCTGCCATTATATCTTCATATAAATGTTCCTGTCGTATCTACAACACAGAATTACATACTAGCCTCGGAATTATCTACAATCATTTCCGTATAAACTTTGGTTATATCTACAATCATATCTGTACAGTTAAGTTAGTCATATCTTTATCTATACAGAATGTGGCTATGCCAACAATCATAAGGTTATTGATGGTGAATAAATCCGTGTTGTAAAACATATCAGATAGGGCCGTTTTAATCGTTCTTTAAATTTGTGACTGCATGCACATGTGTTGTGGTTAAGTGATGATGCTTCATACCTGTACAGAAAATCGCAGTGTAAAGTTATAGAAAATAATCAATGTCAGAAGGCAGACGTGGTTTTTTCATATGATAATTGATTCCATGAAACGATACCCACCGCCTAGTTAACTCATCCTACTGTGCAAATTACTAAATCGTTATGTCGTTAATAAAATATGTGAAAAATTCGACGACGTAAAATAGTTATGTGAATGATTTGTGAACTAACGCTTAAAAATACATCCGCTCCTGAACGTTAAAATTGAAAGAAATAGGTAATACGACAGCTAGTCGCTTCACTCAACATCTACATGTAATTTAGTGAGAAAACATTTCATCGAGAACACATATCTAACATGACAATAAGCATGAAACTGAAAGGCAGCCTGGTATGAACCACAACAATTATGTATTATCAAACAAGTTAAAAACCAAAATAATAGTGGACGGTAATTTGAGAGTATTTCCGGTTTACCAACTTGGAAATAAAATACACCTTAATGTCACTAAAAACCTAACATATGTATCACGACCATATCTGCCATTAAGTTTTCATATAAATGTTCCTGTCGTATCTACAACACATATGCCGTGGACCAAACGTTCTGTTATCCATTAAATATCGCAAAATTACCATGTTTGTTTAAACATTGAAAGCGAGTCCGTATTTATATATCAATCATAATATAATAATCAACGAGTTAATTTAAATAATATGTATAAAAAAGAAGAATACAAACATATTTAGATAAAAGCTATGACTTACTCTTTAGGGATTAATCAAATTCTCCGTTTGCTGATCGGCATTCCTAAGTCCGACGATGGCAGCGATATTTAAAAAAACAACATTTTTTTATTTTTATTTTGTAAACATATTTTTATCATACCTGAAATGTGATGATTGGACTGTATGATAATCTAAATAGACTATAGGAGTGTTTGTCAAAATGAACACTCTCTTACAGGTAAAAGTAAATACCTGAGTTAATTACAGGTATATACCTATACATAGAAAGGTATTCTTTGAACCATGTAGACATATGCGAGGTGAATGAACAGTATTAAAACTTTGCATTTAATGCATGTCCGATTTGGTTAATTGGCCAGAACGTCAGACACATTATACAGATTAGTAGGTTTCGGGGGCGGAGTTTACGACAACAGAAAATGGTGAACGATATATTTAACCACCCCTCGATTTTTTACGATGTATATTTGGAATGGATTCAAGCAGGATTTGATATACTTGCTTTTCCTTTTTCAAAATTAGCAGAACAGTGTACTATATTGTATAAACATCTTCCTATATCAATATCTCAGTCCTGTTTTCATTTATGGGATGGATGTAGGAAAAGGGTTTATTGTAGTTGAGACTGAAAAATCAGGAACAAAATTATCGCTACAATTTAATTACAATGGGAGTGTTAAATAATTTTTTCGACATGGGAAAGAAAATCAAAGCCTGTACAAACATGACAAACCGATAATGTACAAAAAGTCACGTTTGGGTAAACAAATGTAATGGAAAACGTGAATATGCGCTATAAAGCATAATTCAAGATGATAACGATATCAAAGAAGATATCAACTGAATTAAAAAAAAAGTGTGACTGCGGTGTAAATGAGATATACATATATCAAACCTCCTAACTTGAACATACCTTTAGTTCCCAAACCAAATATACCACAAATACTCGCATTTTCATCAAACATCAACATATTTTTTTCTATAGTTCTATTTTCGCTAACAATTTCTCCAATTGATCCTTCTTTTTGACTGCCAGTATTTTGTTTCATTGTTTGTGTAAAAACATTAATTAATCACTTTTAAAAGCTAATATTTTAACTTTATGAAAAGAGATCAAAAAATTTCTCAGATATATTTACTAACAAACCTGTTAAGGTACTGTTGTTACTTTTAAAACTTATTCGATGTATTTCACCGAAACCAATAAATTTTGCAAAAGCAAAACGAAATCTATTTCTGGTGAATATTTTATCCCACACATAAATAAATCAATGACGTCATCAATTTGAAATAATTCATATATGAAAAAACTTACTTGATTAGTATTGAATGACAGATGATTTAATCTTATCCTCCAGACACGGTTTATCTGCATACTTAACGTAATTTTGATGGTATTCAAAGGAAAATATTTTTTTACGGCGTTTCACATGAAACATGCGAATTTGTGTTTTTAAATGCATAAATATATATAGAGAAAACAACATTCAATACAGTTCATGTCTCATCAGTGTAGTAATATATATATATTATAAATCAGAAAAATGATCCTTACGGACGAAGTAAATATTATAAAAAGAAAAATTATCAACAACGAGTCTTTAGTACTTTCATCTCTTCTAGGAGATTCTTCAGACTACATTGTGTTTCAATCAATAGCATATATTCATAATGGACGATTTTCTTTCTATGCTATTAAATAAATTTGATTATATTTCTAGTGATTGTTTTACGTCACAAGTTGTTTGATTTCAGCTAATGGACTATTATATTAGTCCTGAGTTTGGCCGTAACATTGTAGCTGAGATTTTTTTCTGGTACGTTTTTCATGAAATACTAGTATACAAAAAAAATGACTATGTTATAAATGTATAAGGTTATAAAGACTTATATACGCGCATTTCCCCTTTTTACACATTTCCTATACGGAGCACTTCTGACAGGGATGCTAGTATTCATTCTGGAGACCTCTAGTACGACTAATGAAGTGCAATACATGTTTACTTTGTTTGTATTTCTGCATCGACGTACTCAGTTTTCCAATAGATGCTTCCTCACTATTCTAGATAGTGAAACACTATCTTATCTAGATTCGATCCCAGGCATGGTACCACATGAATCATTATGACGAGTGGGACATGTGGTTCAGGAAACATTTCTCCGTTGGCAGTACTTAGTTCCGCCTCCAGTGTATGATAGGACCTCAGTTCCTTTTTGGTCCATTTTCTTAAGAATCGGATGAAAGGTTAATATATTGTTTACTTGTATCGCGTAATGATCTTATTTTACTTACATGGTCGCAACATTTCACCCACATTTCACGACTGTCCTAGCATCCAAATTAGATTACAACGTATATATACTTATTTGTGATATCGACAATTTTAGCATTTATGCATAAACTGATCGTACAAACAAGATTTACTTTGAATAACTTATGATTAATGAGAAATATCCCACTTTTATTAAATAATTTTCTTAAATATTTGATGGTGGAAACATCAGCTGAACTGAATACAATGATTTATTTACACGAGAAGGACACTTTTAATATTAGCAAGT